CACTGTACCTTGGTGCCTGTGACAATAATAAATCAAATCAATTCAAATTCCATCTACCGAGTCACAAAGCTTAGGAGACAACGCGACTGGGATTGGGAGAATGTCCTTCTTGGCCAAATAGCCTGCCAAATCTGAAGTGCAGAATTTCACTGTTGTAGCCAATGTGTAGAGCTCTCAGCTACATATTCAGGGCAGTGCTGGATGTTGACTTATTGGTGCACATCTGGGTGAATGCACTTCTTTACAATCTCAAAGTATCTCAAAGATAGAACATCTGGAATATCGACCCCACCATCTCTGAGTGAACACAACTTGATTGGTGGGGCTGTTACAAAAATAAATGATGATCCTATTCATGGAAATTACCATGACACCTCAATCTCAGAGGGATATCAATGGGAATTGTCTATTCCTTCTGCTGTCTAAAGACTTGGAGAATTATCAGATTGTGAGTGCCTGGGAAATGGCAGCCTTCTGCAGAGATTGGCCTGCAATGTGATGATGGAGTCTCACTCTGGTATTGAGAGCTACAGCAATGTCAAAGGGATATAACTATCTTCAAATGATGCAATTCAGGGCTGTGGGAAGTGGTGAGGAAGACATAAAGCAGAGAAATCCTTCAGTGAGCACTCATTCCCAACAAGGGTTGGTAACCATTCAGAATGCTCTGCACTATCCAGAGAACAGAGATTGATTTCCCCTTCAGGTTTAGTGGAAACAGCGTCCAGGAAATTAATCTTATGGGGGAATTAAATAATATCATGCATTTTTTCTTCAATTATCTTTTAATACTTTTGCTTATTAGTTTCAAAACGATTGCAGTTGAGAAAGAAGGCTGTCTGGCTGTGACTGACACTTGGAGGTGGGAGGGCATGCAATAAAAACTCCAGGAATATGACCCAACAGAATTGGCAACCGGTGTGCCCAAGCTACTTCACTTTCTCAACTGCTGAACCACAGGAGAAAGTTTGCACATAAAAAGAGAAAATGCTGGAGAAATGCAGCAGGTCTGGCAGCATCTCTGAAGAAGAGTCATATCAGACTCAAAAAGATAACTTTGGTTCTCTCTCTACAAACAGTGCCAGACCTGCTAAGTTTCTCCAGCATTTTCTCATTTTATTGCAGATTTCCAGCATCCACAACGTTGCACTTTTATAAGAATGCCTATATGTCTTCCCTTTGTAACAAACTGGACTGCATGGCAACTCAGATACTCTCCATGTCTACATGAATACTGCCTGATAGTCATTGCTGCAGATGTTTGTTAGAGAATAAAATGCAGTTTATAACAGGAATTCATATCTGTCACAAGGACTAGAGCCAATGAGCTGCATAACTTATTCCAACATTGATGGGAGACTCAGACATTCCTCATTCCAAGCAGAAACATTGTTTATCCGCACTGAGCATTCCGTGTCTGTAAGTTCATAAACAATTTATCACACCACCCGCCAGCTGGTGGTAATACTGGTTCATTTCTGTGCTAACCATCAGCCCTCTCCTGAACCCCA